GAGTCGAAGCAGAGGTCAACCAGAGTCGAACAGATCCGTCGGGTGGGCCCAGAACGCGGTCCACCTGGCGGATCTGTTCGACTCTGGCTTGCGGGTCGGAGAACGTTATCTCCCCCTCCTGTCCTCCTCCTCCTCCTCCTCCTCCTCCTCCTCCTCCTCCTCCTCCTCCTCCTCCTCCTCCTCCTCCTCCTCCTCCTCCTCCTCCTCCTCCTCCTCCCCCCCAGCAGGAGGAGCCGCGCCCGCGAGCGCGATCTCCGAACGCGCCTGGCCCCCTCTGAGCAGGCCCCCGCCTCCTCCGAGCGCGGGCCCCCCCGCGCCCGGCCCCCGTCGGGCCCCATGGCGCCCCTCCGCGGGGCCCCGGCCCTGGCCGTCCGCTCCCCGAGCCGGGCCCGGCCGCGGCTCTCCCGCAGCGCCACCCCGGGCGCCAGGCCGATCTACCCCCCGTAGGAATTGGGCGCCCGAGTTACCCGGGGTAACTCGGGTCCGGGGTAACTCGGGTTTGGGTTCCCGAAAAACGAACCCGAGTTAGCCCTGACCCGAGTTACCCCTGATGATTCGGGGCTCTGGACGCCCGAGATATCCGGGGTAACTCGGGTCCGGGGTAACTCGGGTTCGGAATCCCGAAAAACGAACCCGAGTTATCCCTGACCCGAGTTACCCCTGATGATTCGGAGCTCTGAAGGAAGGCACCAACTATACACCAACACCGATCCTGGCCCAGGATCCCCCCTGGGCCCAGGATCGGTGCATACGCCCTCCTGCCTTGGGCAAGCAGGCATATACACCGATCATGGGCCCAGGGTGATCCTGGGCCAGGATCGGTGTTGGTGTATAGTTGGTGCCCTCCGACCCCGGGCACCCAGGGCCTCCGACGTCGCGTGTGTCGTGCGTTTCGGCTTGTTCCGGCGCGTCGACCCCCGGCGTCTCCAGACCTCTGCCCCAAAAACCACCTCTCCGTCCCGAACCGCTCTTTGACGCCCCCAGGGGCCCAGCCAGCCAGGGCCCCCGGAGGCCGACGACTGACACAAAACTTGCCAAAGTGCTGTTTCACGACGAGCTCGATAGGGTGCGGGGGGGGGAGGGGAGAGCAGGGAAGGGGGGGAGGAAGTGAGGAGGTGAAGAGGGAGGGTACGGGGGAAAGGAGGGGGGGGGGAGGCGAGGTGGTGGGACCAGGCCCCTGCCTTCCCTTCCAAGCAGGCCCCCCGCCTTCCTGGCAGACGGGCTCAAAGGGGACAACGTCGACCTGGAATCGCCGACGCATCTCTTAGAGGGGCCCCCGACAGCGACTCCGCGCACGCTCGTGGGCGGGGGGGGGCATCGGGCCCCTTATCGGCGATCGATGGGCGATCGGGGGTCGACGCATCCCCCCCTGAGCCTATCCCACCTAACGTGAAGTGGGGCCCGTCCCCCATCACAGGGGGATTGGCGACGAAGAATAAAAAAATACCCCCAAAATAGTCAAACAAATTATCCAAAAATGGTCTGGGGACTATTTTTTGAGTATGTTCTCACCTTTTTGGGGTATTTTGGGGGGCATTTCTTATTTGTCGTCGAAAATCCCCCTGTAGGGGGATTTTCGTCGAAAATCCCCCTGTAGGGGGACACGCCCGACATAAACCGAACGCTGCCCCTGACCTCTTCGACACCTGGTGGTTTTCGGGGATCTTCTGACCCGGGTCAATCCAGACCCGGGTCAATCAGGCCTGCAAAATCCTGCAAGATCCTGCACCCAAACCCGGGTCAATGCGAAGGATCCTGCAGGATCCTGCAGAATCCTGCACCCAAACCCGGGTCAATGCGACCCTGGCGCTGCAGAATCCTGCAAGATCCGGCACTCTGGCTGACCCCCGTCTGCACTGACCCCCGTCTCGAGGCTCCCGAGGTTTTCGGATCACGGGGCCTCCGGCGGCCGCTTGGCGCCCTCCGGGCACCCCACACACGCTCTCGGCGAGGCGCGGCCGCTGGCGGCCCCGATGGCCAGGAAGCCGCCGAGGACCGGCGAAACGTCGTCCCCTCCCTGAGCCACTCCTGAAGTCGGGCGCGGCCTCCTACGGGCGGATGCTGGGCGAAAAAGAGAGCAGAGGACAAACGGATTCAAAAAGGCAGCACAACGAATGGCAAATCGTCCCCAGACCATCTTCGGAACTATGCTCGAATCTTCCTTCTGTGGAGGGACCTCCCCTCCCTGAGCCTCTTGCTAGGGCTCCCAACTTCGCGCTCTCGCGCTGCGCGAAGCGCGAATAACTTCGCGCCCTCGCGCCGCCCTCCCAAAGGGAGAATAGGAGGACGAGGAGGAGGGGGAGGAGGAACGAGGACCGCGAAGCGCGAAGCGCGAATAACTTCGCGCCCTCGAGGGAGCCCTTGCAAATCGTCCCCAGACCATCTTCTGAACTATTCTTGAATCTTCCTTCTGTGGAGGGGCCTCCCCTCCCTGAGCCTCTTGTCCCCCCCAAAAACCGTTGCCCCCGAGCCTCCGCCCTGCTGCGCCCCGCCCCCGCGCCTGCTCTCCAGCCTCCCCAGCAGCTCGCCGCGCTCCCCGGAGCCCCGAGGCCCCGCCCGCCGCCAGGCGCCGAGCGACCCCACCTCGCTCCAGCGCGGCAGCCGCTGCTCGAGCACGAAGTCGTAGCACTCGTCGTAGAGGTTGTACGCGAAGCTGAACCCGATCTCCTCCCAGCTCGGAGGTTTTCGGGGCTATCGGACGCCTCCTTCGTCGGCTCCCTGAGGTTTTCCAGCCTAGGGGATCTTTTCCAGCAGCTGCGCCTCGCTGATCGGGCGTTCCGGGGGTGGCCCGATCGTCCCAGCTCGACTGGAACGAACATGCCCGGCGAAGGGCCCGGCCATTTGCAGTTGTAGGTGCCTCCTTCGGCGGAGCGGGGCCACGAAGCGTGTGATCGGGGATGGACAGACCCCCCTTGAGTAAAACGTGGTTCAGTGAAAACGACCTGAGGCCCAAACCTGGCGGGCGCAAGCCTGGAAAAGAAGGGCCACGGCGCCATCTCGAGAACCGAAAGCGGACAATTCACTCATCGGCGTGTCGCTGTTGGGGGTTCTGTCCACTCCCGGTGTGAGGGGTGTGCCGCATCGGGGGCGGGTGCCCGTGCGGGCGCGCCAGGCGAAGCGGAGCCCGATCTCCTCCCCCCAGGTGCGAGGCTCCAGCAAATCCGAGGTCCGAGGTTTTCGGGCGCATTCGCGGGTCACCTGGAGGTTGTTCTGGCCTCGGGATCCTTTCCAGCAGCGGCGCCTCGCCGATCGGGCGCTCTGGGGGCGCCTGGATCGTCCCGAACGGCCGCCAGAGATCCGAATATGATCCGAAAACTGCACCTCCTCTCGACGTGAAAAAAAAAAAACAAGATGGACTGTTTTGGATCATTTTCAACATTCGGGGGCCCTCACCAGTCCGAAGGGCCGTCAGAAAACTACTCGGGATGAAGAAACTGGCCTGGGGAAGGGTCTGGACCTCCCCGGGTCGACGTTGTGACAAAAATCACAGCGTCGGAGATGTGGGTTCCAGCTTGGCTCGGAAGTGCTTGGCGCCTGGGATCCGTCTTCGCGCCCAGAGACAGGCAGAAGTCGATCCGGGACGAAAACTGGCCAGGATGCACCCCGATATATATATATATATATATATATATATAGAGAGAGAGAGAGAGAGAAAGAGAGAGAGAGAGAGAGAGACAGAGAGAGAGAGACAGAGATCCATGGGCCGATTTTGAGCAGATTTTGCTGTGAGGGTCAGACGAGGATAATGCGAGGCCAATTTTTATACACCACCACCGTCCGCAACAGTAATTTACCGCAAGAAGGGTTAGGGGCAGGGTCATGCCAGACGACGCTGCGACGCCGCGGCGAAAAGGAGCGCGGCGCAGCTCGCAGGCGCCGTGGCATGGGAAGCTCCTGAAGCAAAGACAGCACTTCTTGAAGGTGGTGTATGAGAGTCGCTCATCTTGGCAACAAAGATTTGATACACCACAACCGCGCGTGCTTGGATGAATTCGGCATCCGCGGATTATAACCAGCCTCGAACTTATCCCCATCCCTGAGATTGACACGCCAAAAGGCGATGACAATCTTAGGGGTGCACCCTCAGAAACTGAGGGAATCCCTAAGATCGCCAGCGTGACGAGGCGATGCCCAACATAGGGATAGGGATAGGTTCCAGGCTGGTAAGATTATCGATATAACCCGCTGATGCTGATATCCTTCCCTTGTCTTCGCCTTCGTGGGCACCCTGGGGGGGGGGGCCCCGTCGCCGCGGCCAGGCTCGCCTCCTCCTCCTCCTCCTCCTCCTCCTCCTCCTCCTCCTCCTCCTCCTCCTCCTCCTCCTCCTCCACGCTCGGCACGCACCCCGTGGAGTGGCCGCGGCGAGCGGCGGCGGCGCGACCCCTCCGCTCCCCGAGAGAGGCGCGCCGGCACCGGCCCTGGCCAGGCCCCCCTCGCGGGCCCAGGCTCAGGTCGGGCCCGTCCCCATACAGGAGGGACATTCATTACCAGCCTCGAACGTATCCCTATCCCTAAGATTGACACGGCAAAAGGCGATGACAATCTCATGGATTCGCCCTCAAAAAATAAGGGAATCCCTAAGATTGGCATCGTGATGAGGAGGTGCCCAGCATAGGGATAGGGATACGTTCCAGGCTAGTAAATTCAAAGACATTCACCAAAGAATAGCATGGGGTCGATATTTTTGTTGTGCCATGTCTGATCATGTGGGGCGTATGTTTTGACTGCTTTCTTTATTTGAAGGGGAACAGGACACACAAATAAATACACACAAATAAAAGTATTCCCCATATTTTCCTATATTTTCCGGGTTTCTGTCTTCCCCCCCACTTTCCATATTTTCCCATATTTTCCTGGGAGTGGACGATTAATTGTGTCTGTGTGTTTTTTCCTCTCCTGATTATTTTTCGCCCAAAACCCCTCTGTAATTAAGGGGACAGGCCCGACCTAATCCCAGGCCCTGCGCGCACGCAGTCCTGCCGTGGGCCGGGGAAGCGCGCGCTCCCCGCTCCTGGGACCAGGGCCGGCCTGCCCCAGCTCGGCGTCGGGTGTGCGGCCACCGTGTTGGTTTACACGCACATGCCTCAGCACACAGACTGGCACACGCATGCTCATCCGTCGAAGCGTGGTGCCAGCTGCGGTTCTCGCAACCACCGGCGAGCTCTCGCGTCCTTCGCCTCTGCATGCACAGGTACGATCGCGCACACGCGCCGCATTAGCGAGGAGGACCTCTGGGCCCCGGAGCGGATGCGCTGACTTCGGTGCGCCGAGAGACATGCGGATACTCGCGCACTGTATTGATCGCTCTCTGTCCCCCCCTCCTCGTCCATCCTGTCCAGGACCGCCCTGCAGCCGGGGCTCACGGGGCTCCCCGCGCGCTCCCCGAGGGCCAGCTCCCCGGGGCTGCACTGCTGCCCGATCGCCTCGTAGGTCTTCGTCGAGAACTGGCCGTGGCCGTGGAAGAACTCGGCGCGGTACGCGGGGCCCCAGAAGCGCTCCTGGGGGAGCAGAGCGGCACCCGCCGGCTGGAAAAAAAAAACGGGCAGAAGCGTGGTGTCTCGTTGTTTGTCTCGATTGCGCGTGGCAGTCGTTGCCCGGATACGGGAGGGGGGGGGGACGGGTGGCGGCAACGCTCGGGCGGGGAGGAGCACTCGGGGGTGGGGGTGCACTGCGATCGCCACAATATGCGCACGCACGCCTCTGAGGCGATCGAGGGCCCCCCCGGAGAAAAAAAAAAAAAAAAAAAAACAAAAAAAAAAAAAAAAAAAAAAAAAAAAAAAAAAAAAAAAAAAAAAAAAAAAAAAAAAAAAAAAAAAAAAACGCGGTTATTACCCGGGGGAGAGAGAGGGGGGCTGGCTCGCGCAAGAACCGTTACGCGCCGAAAAAAAAGCCTCCACGAAGCAGGAAGGCTCTGGAAAGAGTCTAGCTTGAGCTTCCGCCCGCCACCTGAGGGCGAGGGAGGAAGGGGCACCCGCTCGACCCTTGCAACACAAGGGCACCCGAAATGGAGCAGGGCCTTGCGAGGCGGGAATTCATCCATATCCACCGCCTGGGAACCGACGTCCTATCCATATCCATATCCACCGAATTGATCCACATCCGCCTGGGAACCGACTGGGAACTGACGTCCTATCCGAATCCATATCCATATCCACAAATCTATCCACATCCGCCTGGAAACCGACGTCCTATCCATATCTATATCCGCCTGGGAACCGACGGAACCACCGAATTTATCCATATCCACCGTGCCCCAGCGGGCGGTGGATATGGTTATGTCTCGGCCCCCGTGGGTCCGAATACAGTCATCGGCCTGACCTAAGGAACGATAAATAAGGAACGAAGCCCCTTCTTATCCCAAGGAATAACGCATAAGGAACGATAAACAATAAATAACGCACAAAGAACTGTAAATCACGCATGCACACCTAAGGAACGACCGAGCCCCTTTTGAAAAGCAAGTGCTCCTTAGTCAAGCCGCTCACTGCATGTCCGTATCCACCGCCTACCGAGGCTCCGAAAGCTGACCCTCCAGGCGGTGGTCGTGTACTCCAGATTTCGTAATAAAAGGGAGGGGGTCTGGACCCTCCAAGACAAGCCATTTCAGACCTCCCCCGTGGGAGGACCCTCCAGAACATCGTCCCCAGACCCCCCAGGCCCTCCAAGATAGCCTGGAAGAGACCCCCCCCCGAAATGAGACCCCCCTCCCTTTCTTACGAAATCTGGAATAGAAATCCCCGCCTCGGAGGCCCGGGACTCGGGAGCGAGCCCGGCTGCGGCGACGAGGGCCCCCCCCCCCCCGCAGGAGGCCCCCAAAAATGGCCAAAAAGGTGCCCGGGCCTCTCCCAAGGGGGCGCCCCGGCCAGGAAGTCCGAGGCGATCCCGGCTGTGGCGACGAGGGCCTCCCAGGAGGGCCAGAGAGGCCAAACGCCTGCTGCAGAAGTAGCAGGACCAGCACATCTTTTTTTGTTTCCCCGCAAAGAAAATCCGCTGCCCCTCGAGGAGGCTTTCTTGAACCCCGCGCTCGATACGAAATTGCCCGGAAACGTATCGCCTATAGACCGGCACGCCCAAAAATAGACGCATGGGCCGGCACCGAATGAAAACAAGCAGGACCAGCACATCTGTGAGAGCGCGCGAGGATCGCGCGCTCTCACAGATGGTGGATTCCACCATCGCTGGCTTGAAAGTTTTCCCTGAGGGGGGTCGGAAACCAGGGCCCCGCCCCCTCTGACAAGAAAAACACATAAGTTAGGGGGAGGAGGAGGAGGAGGAGGAGGAGGAGGAGGAGGAGGAGGAGGAGCCTCTCGTGCAGTTGTGATTTCATCCCCCGTGTAAGGGATTCGTGTGTGGTGCCGATGAGGACGGCACTCCCGAACCTTCCACCGCTGGCGTGCGCTCCCGAGGCAGGTCTTGCTCGTCAGGACGGCCTCGGGCCTCCGGCCGTCCACTGGCCACCCTCCTCGTGCCGTGTCGTTGCTCGGTGTTGGTGTGCACGCGTCGCTGGACAGGAGGGCCCAGAATCGAACCGATAGATCGGACTGGCGATCGAAATGAAGCGGATCGACGGAAATCGGCAGCCGAGTCGGGACAAGTCGGATCGGCAGGAATCGGCAGGCTAGTATGCCTCCAATGAGACATCGGAACCAGAATCGGAATCCCAAGCCGAATCGAATCGGAATCAGAAAGCATCGAAGTCGAATCGAATCGAATCGGAAGAATCGAAACGAGCCCTGCTGGATCGGCCCCCACGTGCCCGCTCGGCCAGTTCACCCCCCCTGGCGACTTCGGCGCTCCACTGTGTATGCCCGTGGGCCCCGACGGGGGGGCGGTCGTGAGCGCCGCCGTCGGCCGGCGAGGAGGAGGCTCGCCCGCGCCCGCTGCCCTTGGCTCCGTCGTTCCCTCTTGCGTGCAGCACTGCTGCGGACACCAGGGACACATCGTCGTTCAGGGGAGCGCTCAGGAGGGGGAGGGGAGAGGGCAGAAACCAAGGGACCCCCAGGCTCTCCACCCCCCCCCCGCCCCACCCCCCGACCCCCCCCCCGGAGAAAAACCTGGGGGGTCTGGAACCCCCGCCCACCCCCTCCCACTTCAGGAACATGAGTGGGGGGGCCCCTTCCGCCCTCGGAAAATTAACGCGGTGGGGTCTGGACCCCCCCCCCTGGAAAATCACCAGCGGGGTACGAACTCCCCCTTCCCCCCGAAAACGACAACGACCTCGACGACGACGACGACGATGACGACGATGACGGCGGCAACGACGGCGACGGCGACGGCGACGGCGACGGCGACGGCGATGGCGACGGCGACGGCGACGGCGACGGCGACGGCGACGACGACGACGACGACGACGACGACAACGACAGCGGCGGCGGCGGCAGCGGCGCAACTGCCGCCAGCGCCCGCGCCAGGCGCTGCTACTGGGGCTCGATCTAATTCTCTGAATATCCTATTAGGGCCCTACTGCACTTGATGCTACTCTACCCTACTCTACCCTACTCGACGTTCCTCGACTCTAATATACTATAGTCTGTCATACTCTACTCAAACTCTGGTTTACTTAGCCTACCCTGCCGTGCCCTACATACTACTTCACTATATTCAACTGTGCCCATACTCTATTCTAATTCCCTCCTCTATTCTACTCCACTGGTCGGCGTCGTCGTCCTCTCCGTCGTTGTCGTCGACGTCGTCGGCGTCGTCATCATTGTCGTTGTCGTTGTCGTCGTCGTTGTCGTTGTCGTCGTCGACTTCGCCGTCGAGGTCATCGTCGTCGGCGTCGGCGTCGGCGTCGGCGTCGGCGAGTCGTCGTCGTCAGTTTCGTCGTCTTCGTCGTCGCCATCGTGGTCAATGTCGGCGTCGTCATCGTCGTTGTCGGCGTTGTCGGCATCGTCGTCGGCGTCGTCGTCGTCGGCGGCGTGGTCCTTGTCGTTGCCGTCGGCGTCATCGTCGGCGTCGTCCTGTAGCGTCGTCGTCGTGATCGGCGACGGCGTCGTCGTCGTCGGCGTCGGCGCCGTCGCCGTCGTTGTCGTGGTTGTCATCGTCGTTGTCGTTTTTGCCGTCGTCCTCGCCGTCGTCGTCGGCGTCGGCGTCGGCGCCGGCGCCGGCGCTGGTGACAGTGCCTGTGTCGTCGTCGTCGACGTCGTGCGTCGTGCGTCCTGCGTCGTGCGTCGTGCGTGGTGCGTCGTCGTCGTCGACGTCGTCGTTGTCGGCGTCGTCGCCCTCGTCGCCCTGATCGTCTCCATTGTCGTCGTCGTCGTCGTCCGCATCGTCGTCGACGTCGGCGGCATCGTCGTCGGCGTCGACGTCGTCATCATTGTCGTCGGCGTCGGCGTCGCCATCGCAATCGTCGACGGCGTCGTCGCTGCCGTCGTCGTTGACGTCGTCGTCATCGTCGTCGTCGGCGTCGTCGCCTTCGTTGTCATCGACGTCGTCGCTGTCGGCGGCGTCGTCGTCGTCGGCGTCGTCGTCGTCGGCGTCGGCGCCGGCGTCGGCATGGTCGGCGTCGGCCGTCGGGCGCCGCGCGTCGTGCGTCGTCGGCGTCGTCGGCGTCATCGTCAGCGTCGTCGGCAGCATCGTCGTTGTCGGCGTCGTCGTCGGCGTCGTCGTCGACGTCGTCGTCGTCATCGGCGTCGTCGTCGACATCAACGTCGTCGTGTGCAGCGTCTTCGTCATCGTTGTCGTCGTCGTCTTTATCGTTGGCGCGGTCGTCGGCGTCGGCCTCGGCGTCGGCGTCGGCGTAGGTGCCGCCGTTGGCGTCGTCGTCATTGTCGTGCGTCGTGCGTCACGCGTCATGCGTCGTGAGTCGTCCGTCGTCGTCGTCGGCGGCGGCGTGGTCGTCGTGCGTCGCGCGTCGTGCAACGTGCGTCGTGCGTAGTGCGTCGTCGTCGTCGTCGGCGTGGCCGTCATTGCCGCTGTTTTCGTCGTCACCGTTTCCGTCGACGTCGTCGTCGGCGTCGGCGTCCGCATCGTCGGCGTCGGCGTCAGCGCGTCGTCGTCGCCAGCTTCGTCGTCTTCGTCGTCGACGTGGTCGACGTCGTCGTCGTCGGAGTTGTCGTTGTCGTCGTCGGCGTCGTGGACGTCGTCGTCGTCGATGGCATCGTCGTCGCCGTCGTCATTGTCGTTGTCGGCAGGGTCGTCGTCGTCGGCGTCGTCGTCGCCGTCGCCGTCGGCATCGTCGTCGTCGGTGGCGTCGATGTCGTTGTCGTCGTCGTGGTCGATGTCGTTGTCGACATCACCATCGCCTTTGTCCGCAACAGCGTCGGCCTCGGCCTCGGCATCGGCGTCTGCGCCAGAGTCGGAGTCGTGGTCGTGCGTCGTACGTCGTGCGTCGTGCGTCGTGCGTCGTCGTGCGTCGTCGTCGGCGTCGTCGGCGGAGGCGGCGACGTCGTCGTGGTCATCGTCGTCGTCGTCGTCTAACTACATCGTTTTCGTCGGCCACGGCGTCGTCGGCGTCGTCGGCGTCGTCGACGTCGGCGTCGGTACCCGCGTCAGCGTCG